ACGTGTCTCGGTGCTCTGGGAGACAGGGAACATCTCAGATGAGAATATATCCAGAAATAACTAGGAACCAATTACAAAAGGCAAAAGCACATGAGAAGCAATCTTCATCACGTGAATCATGGTTGAATTAGATGACTAACCCTCCACTAATTTTCCCACTATTTTTCTATTGTGCCACCTGGTTCTTGTGTTGAATGGTCACTGCTTTCCTTCCATATAATTTCCTTCGCTAAGCGCAGGTTCTCATATCTACTGAAATGAAACTAATTAATACATGAGGGTGAATGTTAGGCACAGAGGTTTGGACATCACTTGGGATGCCAGCACCCCATCCTGGAGTGCTTGGCTTCACTGCCAACAGCATCCTCCTGCTAATGCTTAATGTGCACACTAGGAGGCAGTGGCTAACAGCTCAGGCATCTTAGCCCAGTAGTTCATGTGGGACACTAGGACTGTCTTCTGGGTTTGTGACTTTGGTTTGGCCCAGCCCCAGTTTTGTGAGCATTTGGAAGAGTTCATCAGGGAATCAAAGACCTCTGTCTGTCCCCGTAACATTCATTTGTATGTGTGTGTATGTGCATGGACACGTGTGTCTTCCAATGCAACACAAACAAAATCCTCCCTAGCAGGCAGAGAACATTGCCTGGATCAACATTTTCTGATTTAAAATTTAAAAAAAAAAAAAGAACTTGAAAAGAATTCATGTTGCATTTTTATCATCACCCAGGAAAATGTGAACACAAACTAAGGGACTCAGTGATCTCATGTTTGAATACAAACCTTTCATGACAGTGGTTTCTTGTGTTCATATCATAGATCCATAACAGCACTAAAGGTAAACTGATGACACTACTGCACTTTATTAGACTGGCACATTGTGCTACAAAGACATCACAATCTTACATCGGGCTGAAAAGCCCATTCTTACCTCGCCTTACATATCATCTCTGGTGGTAAGCACGTAGAATGCTAACTGAAAGCCGTAATGGTGACATAGCCAGTTATGAACTAAGGCAGGATGCCTGGGCAGGAAAGAAGAGTTCCCTGAAAGGCAAAGGAAGGTCTCTCCCTGCATTTGCTGATCTGAGAAAGGAGCCTGAGAGGGTCTGGGCCCTCTTCCTCTGCAGTAGTTCTAAGGGGAGAGGAGGCAGAATATGAGGCTGCTGTACCAGATTCTGCCCCAGCCCTGAGGTTTCCTTGGGAGTTCCCCTGCCCCGTATCAGGTCCCAACCAGCTATGAGGACAATGGCCATCTTCTCCATGACATGGCCTTGCAGTTTTAGGAAACATCAACAGGATCACTCACAGTCCAGGGACCTTCCTGATCAAGCTGTTATCATTTCCCACTGGACAAATCAAAGGATTCCGGGGTCTAGGTCTGAGAGAATAAAAGCTACCTAATTTAAATGTCCATGGGAGAGGCTTGACCCTCGACAGCATGAACTTAATGTAAGAGAACCTTCTGGCACTGGAGTTAACTGGGGCTTTCTAGAAGGGAGTTGAAGACTCACCTCAAGCCCAGGCAAGCCCTGCTTTATATCGAACACAGGCGAATCCCAACCCACACCTTCTCTTTCTAGATGTGAAATGCAGGTTGGCATAAAACTGTACTGCATGCAGTTGTACACAGTGCTACCAGCAAACCCGAAGCAACGTTTACACTCAAGAAAAAATGAAACCACATATCCAATTAAAAAATTAGCACATAGATGTGCATAATACCAAAACAACTCAATTGCCCAACATACATCAGGTCGATCCATAACACAGAAAAGTATTTGTCCAGGTAAAGGAAAGAAGCATGGATACATGTTGCATTGCTGACTGTGTTACAGGAAAGCAGCTGTACTCTAACTGAAAGAGCAGTCACAGAGGATTACAGGTTAGATGACCCTACTTCTAGGAAAGCTGTGGAGCAGGTAAACACACATGGGATACAGAGTGGGGGATGCGTAAGAGCAGAAGACGGACAGGTGAAGGCCTTCCAGAGATTTGTAAAGGCCATGAAAATATCTAATTGATGATGCTGATAGTTGTGCATGTTAAGTGGATACATCTTAAATGGGTTATAAATGATGTCTCACGACATCTGTTTTAAAAACACAAATGGACTAAAATATGAAGCAGAAGGAAAAAACAAGTTTACATCTGGTTCCTTGTGAGTTGCTGCCTGGGCCCAGAACACCACCCTGCCCTGCTCTGCAGCCACAGGACCAGAGTCTATGGTCACTGCTCTGGCAGAGTTGCTGCCCATCTATTTTAAAAATCTACTGTCAGAATAATGAAGACACATAGCACATATACATGAGTAGAGTGTACAGCATAAAATCAATCTTTGCACTTCTGAAAATATCTATGTTACAGAAGTACACAATATAGGCTTTCACCCACAGGGTAAGCCACAGACAATTCCTCAGTTAATCCTAACAGCTGATCACAAGAGCCCCTCAGAACAGATCCATGGAAGCTCAGAAGAGATTTCTTAAAATTTTTCCTGTAGGGAATGGCATGGTCTCTCTCAATACCAACTAAACTTACTTTGTGGCTAAACTAACCCAGGGTGAACTCTCCAGCATTTAACTACTTCGGGCATACCCAAAACAAAGGAAGATGTGATTTTTATGACAATGCTAAATCTTCCCATTTTAACTAAAACATCAGCTTGAGATCCTGGATCTGAGGCTTACAACGGGACTTAAGTAAGTCCCTGGAACATGAAAAAGCTGAGTTCATTCTGGTGTAGAAAAACAAAAAATTTCAAATCTGTGCATGTTTTTTTCTGATAATATGCTTTTTGCATGAACTTTACAAAGACTTGTATTTCTAGTACATGCCTTTGCAAACACATCACTGCGAAAGTCCTCCTGTACTGCCAAGGCCTGAAGTGATCCCACAAGTCCACTGCATCATTTACTTGGTAAAGTGAACACATGCCTTAGACCTCACATCGTTTTCAAAGGGTCTGGACACACCAGGAAGCTGTGGTTCCTTCTCCCAGCGAGCTCAGCATCTTAGTCCTTCTAGTGCTGATGCTGGCTCACTACCTCCACCTTGTGGCCAAAGCTAAGCCCCGGGGGTCATAGCTTGAGTCTCAAAGTCACCTTAGGAGGCTGGGCAAACACAGGAAGACAAGTGTTATCTTTATGGCCAAGTCCAAGCAAAGTTCTCAAAATATCAACTTTGTGAGAATTCCACAAGGTCTTCTGGTTATGCCTGATCAAAAAGGGCCAATAATAAAGTTATACTTGGGCCAGGCAAAGTAGCATGGTGACTGGGGTCTTTGCCTTGCATGCGCAGGGATCTCATCTGGGCCCTGGTTCATGCCCCAGCTATTCCACTTCTCTTCCTGCTCCCTGCTGTGGCCTGGGAAAGCAGTAGCGAATGGCTCAAAGCATTGGGACTCCGCACCTGCATGGGAGACCCAGAGGAAGCTCCTGGCTCCAGATTGGTAATCTGACTTTCCAACTAAATAAATAAAGTTGCTTAAAAAAAAAAAGTTGTGCTTGGTATCAAGGACTACAATAATAGTCTTAGAAAGGCTAAACTTGGACAGAATTAGAGCTGTTACCTGTCCTGGGAACTAAACAGATGAACATTAGGACAAAATGCTTTTAAATTGGATGTGTGTGTTTAGGAGGAGGGGTGTCTTCTATATTGAAACCGTGTATCTAAATTTGGAAAGTAAACAGTAAGATTATATTACTCTGGAAATGTTTGAAATAGCTGACCCTCCAGAACTTGGAGTTTTTATTTGTTTATATGAAAAGATTGAAGGAACTTTTTATATAGCTATCATTGTCTTGAAACACTCAACATTCTCTTTGATCCTTTCATTATGGGTGGACGTAATACACACACACACACACACACACACACACACACACACACACACACACACACACAAGTCAGTGTTAGTTCAAAGCAAGTCCCAACTTCCCCACCAACCTCACATGCATAGAATTTTAGGAAAATGTTAGGACTGGGAAGCACTGCTGAACCAATTCAACACGGACAAAGATGCACAGGAAATGCTTAATTTTGAGCTAGATCAGACAACTCCATATTACAGCTTGGCTACATCATCGTCACATCAACCAGGACCTAAAATACTAACAGTAACAAGATCTTAACTCTACTCAACTTTGTATGGAAACCTAGACAGCTACACATGATGGACTCTTCCTTCTAGTGTAGAAAAAGAAAAATATCAGGACACCTGAGCAGGGAAAGGCAGTAGGAACACTGAGGCCAAGATAACAGGTGCTTGAGTCTGACATGCTAATGTGGATGGAGACAGAGTGGCTGTCAGAACTATGTGACAATGCAGGAAACCAGTCTGCATTCCCAACATGAGCACTGATAACCATGCCAGTGTTTGCAAGGGAAGCAGATGAAGGGATGGAACGCATTGCATCCCACCTGCTGTACCCTGTTTGCCATTCTTGATTTCAGTTTTTCCTGCTCTGTTTGCCAGTGGAGAAGCTGGATTCACAGAGGCTGAGCGTTAACCCAGTAGTATAATCACGCTACTGACTGAGTCAACTAAATCATGACGTCTGTGACTCCATATCCGTTATCAATCAGCAGCGCTGGGAGAAGACAGGGTTCATGTAAAGCTGTGAATCAGTGCAATATAAACAACGTAATTGTTCAATTTAAAGAACTCTGGGTCTATAGTAACATGGTGCTAGAAAGGAGTGAATAAACTCTCCTGGGGTTAAAAACTTTCTTCCCCCTTGGCTTTGTAAAACAGAGCCTGACATTTCGTGCTATAAATCAGGACATTACAACACTGCCCCTGAAGTTTCATCAACTGTAGTTTAAAAAAGAGAACATATGTGAGAAAACAGGCAGGGACTACATAAATGTACTAAAGCTTAACTCCCCAAAGTAGAAAAGGCTGAAAAATATCTTCCCCTCATCTTCCTCAGGGCATCTCAAAGTTTATAACGATAGGTTAATAACCAGAAGACAATGTACATAGAGCTCCACAGGCTTACCTGCTCTAACGTCAGCTGCTTGGAAATGGTATCATTCTCCAGTTTTTTAATCTTCTTCATCAGTTTGTTGACCTGGAATTCTTGCTCCTGCTCAAGATGCTGCTCCAGTTCAGCTTTCTCATGCTGCAACTGCAAAGTGGAAAAAACACACGTAGCTGTCAAGCAACTCGGAAAGTGAAGGACACCCTGGCTCCAGAGGCTGAGGCACCATCATGGAGTCATGCTGCCTCCACTGTCCCTGGGCCCAGGAACCTGCACAAGGATCACACACACCCCCCACAGGGTATCAAACCAGAGTTGAAGAGATTTCCCAGTAAAAACTTAAGCAGATGCCTCTGCAGCGAGCAACTGGGAGGCCGGGGGATGAGGCAGGGAAGGAAACTATTTTTCTGCACATACCCTTCGGGGCCTCTGAAGTTTCACAGCATGGGTATAAAAATGAACACTTTTAAGAAAAGGAAAGTTCACACCATCAGCTTTTATTAAATGAATTAGATTTTCCTTACATCATGGTGCATAGAGAAAAGATGTCACTCTCACCAAGTGCATTTACCGCGTTTCCCCTGGACAAGCAAGCATGCTTTGGCAAAAGTCAGTTCCATTATCTTTCCATAATGAGATAGTGCATCTCACACCTCCTACACTCTCCTCAGCCAAGGCAGAAACCCTCTTGTTTATGCAATTACAAGATAAGCCTTCAGCGTCATCCCAAGAGAAATTTCTTTTAAAAAGTTACTTCAATCTTTAAAATGAGAAGGAAGAAAACCAGTCCAGTGCACATGTGGCAGTCTAGGGTTTTCATTAGCAACCAGGCCCGGTCTTTCATTCTAAACTGACGAGCTTTCTTGAACCATAGCAAAAGTTGGCCAAAAGAAATAATTTACTAAAACAATGAAGTACACAAAGGTTTTGGTTTTCTGTTGTTTCCTTTATTTTGTGGTCTCAGCTGATGCAACTTGGTACTTTTACCTTGAAAATGATTTCTGCGGGCAGATCCTGTACACAGGGGACTTCACACCCATTAAGTCTGGCACAGACACTTATCATGTTCAAGATAAAATGGGTTTTCTGTACAGCTCCTCTGAACCCCTCACCAGGGGCCTGCTACTGTATCCCTGGGCCAGCCTCAGGGAGGTGCACCAGACCCACCCAGCCATCAACATCTGGTACGTCTCGGGCATTGGTAAAGTCAAACGGTTAAATGAAGAAGTGAGTGAGTGAGCAAGCTGAGTGAGCGCCGCTGAGGGATGCCACATCCACTAGATGTGATGCTCAACTGGGAGAGCCCTGCCAGGTGTGATCAGCCTCCAGGAGGCCATACCTAACTGTGTCCATGCTGCACACAATTTTTATACTCCTCTGAAAGCACAGAGTAGGGGGCAGCAGGGGCGGGGAGGGAAAGGCAAAGGAAAAAGTCTTAGATCTGAAACAGCCTTTTAAGGTTGGAAATGTTGACTAAACAGCTGCTGCTTTCCCTCCAACTGCTATTGATGTGCAATTCGAAAAAAAAAAATAATAAAAAATAGAAAGCCAGTCAACCTTGGAGGGACCTAGAAGGGAGAAAAAAAAAAAAAAAAAAAAAAAAAAAGCACGTGATGATGAGGTGCTTATACTGACAACTCTATTTTTATCCAAATCTTTAAAACTCAATTTCTGCAAGACCAAGCAATAATTCAAAGAAGGAAAACAAACAAAAAATGGAGAAAGACAGTTCCTTGCATTTCAGATGCAAAAGATCCCAACAGAACAGAAAGATGGCATTTGAGAGGAAAACCAGCAGAACGTGCACATGTTAATAACACTTTCATTTTTTAACATGAGCATTTGCTCTGCATCTTCTACCTGCAGGCCCTATACCAGCAGCAGGTGAAACTTACAGCATCATCTTTGCACTAAAATGATTTGTAAGCACTAAGCTTAAGTGATATCTACTAGTTCTATAGAAATTAAACTTGAGTCTTAAAACCTTTAAATCATCCACATAAAGATTATTTATGCAAAATCACTACTTTTGATGGTCATCACTTTAATGAAAGAAACCTTCCTTTTACCTTATTTGCATTATGCCTCTGCTGGAGATAAATTAAAAGAACAAAGGATGCAATCCCACACTGAGAGTATCTCTTGACCATCAAGCAGTGGTCCTCACAGGATGCTCATTTGAGAACGGATGGCAGTGTTCTGCACGAAAATATTGCTATTTAGGCATATGGCCAACACGATCAATATTAAGTACTGAGTACTTCTTTTAAAGCTGTAGATTTCACAGTAATGAAAACTTTACCAGCTCTCAATTTTAGCAAACCTCTTCCTCTGAAGAAGTACATGCTCAGGAAAATGTGATGGCACTTGTCATTACTAATAAGGTCCAGTGGGTTAGACCACTTTATTTGGAAAATATCAAGCTGTCCTGAGATCTATTTGCTGAAGAATTCACAATTTTCATCATGTCCACAGAAGAGAGCTGAAACAGTTCGGCAACCTGCTCTGTTTCACCTCTTTCAAGTGACATGCAATTTAGAGGTAGGGCTTGGAGTTTCTAAACAGAAGACTAGAAACAGAAAAAAAGCATAGGTCTTTCTTAGAATCAAGAAACCACCAATAAGAAGAGAAACAGAGAGAAGAGAGAAAGTCCCTAAGCCCCACAAAATCATGCGATGGGAGTTGAGATGACCAGGGAAACAGCACAAGGCAGAGCCCTCCAGGGGATGATCTGTGTAGTTGTACTCACACGATTTGCCTGAGGAACACTGGTGAACTGTAGTTAACAAATAGCATGTAAATACAAGCAACCTGGCCCTAACAGAGCTGGACCCAGTGCCGTGACCCAAGCTGCAGCTTGGCCACACAGGTTCACCAACTCTAAAAGCTGACTTGGCGCAGGCTAACCCAAGACAAACCAACAGAAAACATACTGGCTTCTACCCTTAACGTCCATTTTCAATAAGGTCAAAATCACAGCATAATTTCAAATTGCTAATCATAAGTTTTAACACACTAACTATACAAGCAGTTTTAAATCACACAGAGATTCTACAACAAAAATATTCAAAGTAGGCAAATTTCAACAATATAAAGTAAAAAGCAAAATCTTGGGCAGCTTAAAGCTTTTCTTCAAAATCAGAATGTTCTATAACATACTTTATATAAAATCTCAGAAAATGATGAAAGGACTTCTATAACCCTTATTTGTGAAATATATTTTAGCACTAATAAGGAAAAAAATCCCATGGTATCAATGACTTCACATTGTCACATGATTTCTCAGCAGGCCAAATTTTAATAAATTAGGGTTATACATGCACAAATTCGTTTCTTGGAGTTCAACCTGAAACAAGATTGTTAGGAAAATTTACATAGAATATTGAGGAAAAAACTATCTGTACCGAATATATACAGGCTTTTTTCCTTGTCATGGTCTCTTACACAAAGAACATAGCATTTACAATGTATTAACTCATTTATGGGATGACATGTGCAAGTTACATGAAAATATTCCAGCATTTCATGCAATGGGAATGAGCATCCACAAATTTTAGTATCCAGAGGGGGTCCTGGAATCAACCCTCTGCATATACTGAGGGACAATATAAATGAAACAGATACATGCATAGATAATTCGAAAACAGCACAATTTTAAATCCCATCTTGGGCATTTTCTTATTTTATCCACTGATGATACAGGGAGCCCCAGAGTGAATTTCCAACCCCCTTAACCAAGCACAAATGTAGCATTAATTTGATCTCCAGCAGGCTAGCTTTAAGCATCATTCAATTACCAATAATTGTTGTTCTCATAATTTACAATGGCTTTCCAGGACTACTTCAACGAGCCAGTCTTCTTACATAGGGATTCAAGAACTTTGCACCCAATGATTTTTTCATTCTCAGAAAAACTCTCTTTAGCAGGTAGAGGTAATGAAAATCATTCACTTGGGAGAACCACTTCCACCAGCCATCACAGTTGCCCATGAAGGCTGGCTATTGAGCCAGCTCTGCCACCCAAAATGAAGCAGGCTCGCCAAACCCCCAAAACTGAGTCAAGTGTTAGCCTGCAGCTCTGGGTGTGTTTGCAATCCAGGCCTCAACAATTGAGGCAAGTCAGAGGCTCCAGCTTTCCGCAGACCACAATGGATGCCCCAACTCTAACACTTCTCTGTGCACCACTCACAGTCCTGCAACCAACAGCTCTGGTGTACTGACAGCAACAAAGACCTACAACAGCCTACATGGGACCAACTTCAGTCCTTCAGAGGACAACCAACACACTAAGGCATTAGATTACCATAAGCCGCCTGCAAAGACAAACTTTGAAAGACAGTTCAAATGCGTGTCTTGGAACGGCAAGAGTTTCTCAAGAATCAACTCTTGAGCTGTTCTACTGAGCAGCCTGTGCAGAAATTCCAACTCCCACCTTTAACTCAGTGCATCTCCATGAAGTGTGTTTTGGGCCCACACTTCTTCCCACCTCCTCCCCTTCTGTTACTGGCACCATTATTTTTGCTCAACACCTCACATCTCTTCAGTTATCAAATCACATTAAGTCAGCCTCCACAACAGCTGTCAAAGACTGCCTCTTCTTTGAGTGTGCAGGGTCCCACTCTCGCTCAGGTCTTTTATTCTTTCATAGGATCACTGCCAAAGCCTCTTAATGAATTTCCCAAATCACCCCAAATGTGATTTGGGGTGGCTTCAATGTGCCACCCCAAACTCTCTGATGAGCCCTGTCTGCTAACAGATAAAGTCTAAATTCTCTGGCACCACATTTAAATCCTCCCAAGATATTGTGCTATGCAAGTTCCCAAGCTCTCCTCTTGACATTTCCGCACTTGGTCCAAGTGACAGTCCAGAGTTTATAAGCATGTCTCCAGGGTGCAGGCCCTGGACACATATATGGGTCTATGTCAGAGCATGGCAGTAACTGCAGTAAAAGGGACATACTAGACCATACCAGACCAGGCTTAGGGGCACTCATTCAGGCCCTTGTGCTGGAAACTTCTGGAAACTGGGGGATGGTTGCAAAGACTTCTAGCAGGCCTTCCTGCATGCCCTTACCACAGTGTGTACTCCTCTTGCCTTAAACTCTAACAAGCATACCGTTCATATGCATTTTAATGCCTACCCCAAAA